ACCTGTTTCCCAACCGAGCAATAATTTATGCAAGATACAATGACATTAAACCAGTTATTTTGTGTATAAATCTGTATTATTTATGTGGGTTTTATTAATAGCCCGAACGTAGCGATAATAAGACGGGGATCCGTGGAAAACTCGAGGATCGTAGAAAATTTATCTCGCCTTTTTTTCGCGAGTCGATCCCGATAAACCGGTTGTACCATTCATAAATTGATATCGGACGTTATCGATATCGTAGAGCACGGGATTCTTTCCTTTTTCCACGGAGATTGTTTCCCTCGCTTAACGGCCGCTTTCTCTTTCTCCGATAGAACCGGTTCGTTTAAATTACGCGCGCGATCAAAGTCGGGTCAAAGTGTTTTCGATAGCTTCACGTGGGAAATTAACGAGCCTTCGTTAGAAGTAAATTTTCGAGGAATTTGTATGGAAGACTTTTATTGCAAATGTTGCGTATCAAAGAAGATCACAATTCTATAAATTATACAAATGTTATTAGCAGTTTAGCCTCAAAGAGTAACGCGCAAACACGAGTATACTCAAACACAAATTTTAATCAAATCTCGTCAAATAATTTAAATACATATATCATTCGTTTCATCATAAAATAAGCTTCATTGCATAAATCTACACTTATATAATTCATACTTTATGCCATGACATTTATGGTTACTTAATTTTTCTCTTACCAAGATCGTTATAAACATCACTCATTTACTAAAATAATCCTAACCATTCAATGAACTAAGTATTACTTCCACCATGGACAAAAAACCCTCGTGTAAAAATAAAAAGAACAGTCATCAGTAATGATATTAATTCCACGTAAATGGAAAACAGGGAATTCGTATAATTTATCGAGCAATGATTCTGTTTTCTCGAATCGACGTACACGCACTCACCCTTGTTTTTTAGTCGCCGGTGAAGTACGTAGAAGACCCCCGGGGGTGATACTTCGCTTAATCGCCAGCTCGCGGTCCTTTATTGCCAACGGTTACTTTGGTTAAGTACCAGGGTCATTGAGAAAATTGTGGGTCTGTTTGCACTGTCAGCCAGTGGACTGGTTTCATTCGGTTAAGTCTCGACGGACAGCCTATACTTGAACCGAGCACCGGACAAAATCGCTCTATCAGCTCCGGACTAAGACACGAGGAATGTGGATTCAACGACGTCCCAAAAGGAATCTCAAAGTATATACCTTGGAATTAACCTTCGTTTGATTTTATTTCAATTAGACGCTTCCTGCCGCACGACTGCATCTCATTCCTTCGCTAAATGCACTCGGGTTCCGCGGGGATCCTTCTTTTACGGAATTTTTCAATTACATGTTTTTTGCCATCTTAGACACGTTACAATATTCGTACACCGAAAATGGATTAATCGTAACTACATTTTTAAATGTTTCGAAGATTTGGATGGACTCGAAGAGGTTAGAAAGTCAGAATGTAAGGACATTGATGAAATAATTGTTTTGGATGTTGAGGTCTGGTATTGTGATGATATGTGCATGTGTGGGGATGTTGCTACCCTTCTTTAATTATTTTAGGATGTTTGCACAGTTAATATTTTGATGAGGTACCTCTCAGTTACGATTTATACATACATCATTACATATATACATACATACAGCATACATGTACATACATTATTACACATATGTATACATACATCACATATGTATATAATTCGGTACACATACGTATACATACATCACATACGTATATAATTCGGTACACATATGTATACATACATCACATATGTATATAATTCGGTACACATATATATACATACATCACATATGTATATAATTCATTACGCATATGTATACATACATCACACATGTACACAATTCATTACACATACGTATACATACATCACACATGTACATACATCATTACACATATGTATACATACATCACACATGTACATAGATTATTACACATATGTACACATACATCACACATGTACATACATCATTACACATATGTATACATTCATCACACAAGTACATACATCATTATACATATGTATACATACATCACACATGTACATACATCATTACACATATGTATACATACATCATACATGTACATACATCATTACACATATGTATACATACATCACACATGTACATATATCATTATCACCACCATTCTGTACATTTCTTGTGTTCTTTCTACAACAGTGTCTCATTCACCGAACATGAACAGTGTTTCCTTACAAGTTCATCAACCTACAATTTCTGTAAAAAGGCAATATGGCTACCGAATTTAAGATCGTCTATCTCCAAGTTTTCCCGTCGAAGATCAAAGTGGTAGATAATATTGTCCCCCGGACAGCCAATACAACAGTCCCGTTTAATTACGCCGAAACACGCGAGCTATTTAAAGTCAAGCGATCGGTCAATCAATCGGTGGAGGGAGAGGAGGAAAAGTAGTGTGCGTGGGTGCGCTCACGCACGTGTACACTGTCAACTCGATTAGGCAGATTCGCCAAACTCTCGGCTGACTAATAGCGAGAGTCATTAGATCGCGACGAAGCTTGGCATTCCTGACTCCGCGCCGCGTAATAAAGCGGCGTGTACACACGCACGCGAGTATATATAGGTGCATCGGGAGCTTCGTGTGCGGACTCTCTCGCGCGCGCACACGCTGTGACGAAGCGTTTAATCAGTGAGTTCCTTCGAAATTCTCGCGAACAGCTGCGAAATCTTGCGCGAACCACGCCTCGAATCTCGTAATCTTTCAACTTTACACGATACAGGTATTTCCTTTGTTTTTTAACACGTTGACTGACATTGTAGATACGGCATGTTACGTGGCATGTAGCTGTAATTATTCATAATACGATCGTTTCATTTTTCAATGTAACCTTTCCACTTAACATTTTGATGGCTGCTTATTTTATGCAATTAATGGCTTTTGTTATCGCTATTCCTCTTTTTTATTCGAGATCAACTGGGAAAATTTTTATAATGTAAAGTTATTCATTTGTGGATAGTATAGAGAGTAATAACGTGTCGGGCGAAGTCAATTAAATTTGAAAATTAATTATTCAAATCGTTAGTTGTTGGAATTGCAATATGTCTTATTACATGTGTCTGTTTTTACTGCCGCATAAGAACTCGCAGTGGAAACAACTCAGTAAATATAGCGCAGTAGATACATCACGGTGGAAACAGCACAGTAGAAACAGTTCATACAATTAATCACGATCTGATCGCTCCATCTTTCTGTCTAACCCTTCTGCTACCTTGTTAAGATCACATTATAATACTGATTCTGCCTGATACTTTATTTTAATTCCTCCTACTTCATTCATTAAACTCCATCGTATCATTGATCTAACTTAACCCTAGCTAATTGCGTCTAATCAAGATGCACAAAATCTGCCCGTGCGATAACCCCTTCATAAGTGGTGGGAAATTTAAAACGAAATAAACGTCTTCAAACGTTACCATCACCGACGACAATTATACGCATCCTTTCGAAACCTTGCGAGTCTCGTTAGTTATGATGGATAATACACTAAAGCTAATGATGTTACATCACCGGCAAACAAACCTCGCAACACCTGCACACGATCGTCGATCGCGTTTCAAACGAAAGCGTTTCTAATCAATTAAACTGAGGACAACTGGAGCGAAGGAGAAAAAGCGATAGCCTGTCATGAGAAATTACGCGATACCCTATGATTAATGGGGCCAAAGGATCGATGATATCCGATGCGGGCTTAGAGGGTGGTCCCTCATCGTACGTCAGGAATACAAAATTGTAATTACCTCACAATAATTCGTATAATTAGGCACTGATTTAACGGGGCATTCGTTAAAATATGTATTTTTAGCCACTGCATTATCTGCATCCTCAAAGTTGGAAAGGAAGGCCTATAGCTAGTCATGTCACAACTTTGATTTATTTTTTATTGACGTATGACACCTTGCAATTTTGTCAATCAACAAGAAAAATAATGTTAAAAATTTGTTCAGTATTGACAAGTTCAATGGTCCAAGAAAATGCCCACTTTATAAAGGTAATTAAGTGACCTAGTCCAGCCAAGTGAACCTTATGAACTAGTAAACCTTGTCCAGCTAAGGGTTGAACACAATGACCAATATGGCGGGCACAGGTGTGACACTGATCGAGTCAGAAACGTATCTGCACTATTTTCGCGAGCCATGTAACCGCGTGTTAGCCACCGATCGACCTCCAGCGAAGCGGGTCGTCCGAAAATTTATTCGAACGCGGACACGAATAACGTTAAAACGCTACTCCGCTCGTGTTTAGAGAGTAGTCCTCGACGTCGGTAAGTACCGGGCGGAATTCAGCCGGCTAGATTGAGAGATATTCCGGCCATCCACACAGAGGTGATGGTCAGTGCGTACGTATATACGAGACCGGTTGTATGGTGTGCGACGGCTGCCGAGCGCGAGAGAACGACAGAGAACGAGGGAACACGTCGAGGGAAATAAGAGGAAGAGAGATATCGAGAGAGAAGTTTTTCTGGTGGGGATAGGCCTCTGCGTGCGGTCCCTTCTTCGACGGACCACCCAAGTAGACCGGCTTACGCCGACCATACACACACCTCGGTTCCTGTGTGCTTCACCTACACCTCTTCGTCTGCGTGGCCAGCCTACACCTACACACCTGCCAGCAACACATGCCCGCCCGCTCACGTGCACGCGCTTCCTAGCCTCGATCCAACCGACACTCGCACGGAAACGATCTACTGCCACTTATGAATGAACCGATACATCGTCTGGCTTCGGCCTTCCGACCAATTTCGAACCTGCGCTTTCCAACTGAAATTTCGCTACCAATGGAACCGAATTCACTCGAAAACTGACTTGTTCATACAATAATAGCAATTCTTTAATACACATACGTTTAATAGGTAACAATTGATAATTGATGAACTTCAAACTGAACAAACTTTAACAACATAGAGTTTTAGAATTATTTGTCAGTAACAAAAGTACCTTAAAGTACCTCCTCGAGGACGAAGTATTAAGTTCAATTTCCATCATCAAACTTCTGAAGGTTCTAACACTTTTATCTGACTTTTGTCAAGATTAAAAAACATAGGGGTTGTAACAAGAACTTCAGGAATTAGGGAGATCTATTACTATAGATCTCTTTTTGTAAACATTTCCCAAATTTTACACAAGAAACTATCCCCAAAAACCAAAATCTGAAGAACTCCTAAAAATGTCATTCTTAAAAAAATGTCTTTCTTTGCAGTCTAAACTATTAAGTCTAAAATATTAATAAGAAGGTACTGAGTTAATACAAATCGAAAAGAATAAAAATTGAATTAAGGAAGTAAAATCAGCGAATATTCACAGTCAATAAACGCGAAACGAATGGAAGGCTATACGACTTGAACGAAACTCGTGACGAACTTCATTCGCGTCACAGCGTACGGGTTTCTACGGTGAAAAGTCATTTTCAGAGTACGACGACGGCTTTCTTGGAAGTAAACCGAGCACCAGACGGTAAATCATTAGCGGTCGAATGGAAATTTCGTGCCGTCTCACGGGGTACCGGACTTAACAGGTGTTACGCGACTTTATAACGTTGGAGGAGCCGCGTACCCTGCCGGTAGTAACGTACGGGTTTTACACAAGTGACCCCTTGACCCTCAACGCTGGAGGTCGTTGATGGGCTAACGTCTACAGACATCTTGAGCGAATCTCTGCAGGACGCATAGTCATGTTACCTTGGCCCTTACAGAACTTCTAAATCTATTATCTCGATTAATTATTTTATTTCAAATTGTTTTGTTTGGTTGAGGTCGTTAGACCACATACGGTGACATACGGTGAATTGTATAATTTAAGATCTGATTGTATAATTCAAGATGTATAATTTTGCTAGTAGAGGAGCAAAATAATAATGTAGTGATTAGCAGACGATAGTAATATTCTGTATTGCACGATAATAGTAGTACAATATGATTGACGCTAATAAATAAGAGTAAAAGTTCCCATCTCGTTCTCCATCGCCATTTTACTTACCACTTTCACACAATTTTTCCCGATCTAAATAAAGTTATTACACTCATTGCATGATCGTTTCGAAAAAAACACGGTAGCAATTACACGAAGAGAGAGAAATTGCTGTCATTTCGACTGCAGAATCTCGACACGCGATGCAGCGTCAAAAAGTGCGCAACACTTGAGGAATCGAATTCGTGTAGCGACTTGATTTATAACGATACGTTAGGTAGAAGAATACTAACCTTTTCGCGTTGTTCGAAGAGGGACTGTTTACAAATCTTTTCGCGGCGCGATTCGAAACAAGTTTTCACAACGGAGCAGGTTAGTCGTGCCTCGCCTTCTATTATGCCAGCATCGTGCGCGCAACCGTGTCGATCTTCTGCTAGAAATTGCTACAAGAAACTAATCGTGCGATAGTGAGTAAATGGAAAATGTACTGCCAGCAAAAAGAGGAGGATAGTTAGGAAAACTACTAAACGGTAAGAAATCGAATTTTGATTATTTTAGTAAAACATATGTGTAGATGATCTTGTATGGTTAGGTCCATAGAATTAACAGGTTCATGCTTTTATAAATTTTCTTTTCTTCACTTCATATTTCGATTATGTGCTTGATATTTGTAGAACAATATTTGAAGGATTTTTTTCAAATTTCATCTTTAGCTTTCTAAAATAATAATTAACAGCCAAGTTACTATTTATAGCTTCATAGACTCCTTCACTTAAACTCTGTGTTTATCCTAGACTTCTCTGGAGTTTCTAGATTGTGTCAGACATTTTCGATTCTTTCTAGGTTTTTAATTTGTCTCAACATCAAAGGAAGTGATTGGTTAGAAATGATTGTCTCGCAACATTGGATAGTCGATAACGGTTGATGCCGCCGACAAAGAGCATCGAGTTAACGCAATCTCTGTCGAGGGTTTCTGCGCAACTGTTTAACGAATTCTCGTGCTCGAGTTAATTACACCGGTGGATTTAGTTGGGTTCGCGAAACGGCTTTCTCACATTCGAAAGGCGGGGACGAGGCGAGAACGTCGTCACGATAATGAGCCATTAAATGATTGTCGTAGCGAGGGAACGGTTTTATTATCTCACGGTCGGCAAGATAAGCGGCTACCGACAAAGAGGCCGCGAATACCCTGCGACGAACACTTCATTACGAACGTTCGATTGCCCGAAAACGCCTCGAAGGCAATTAAAACCGGTCTTAATTTTACCCCGAGGAGACGTTACTCGACTTAATGACCCTCGCATTCGGCAAACCGATAATATGGGAAAATATGAAAAAATATGAAACCCTTAAATTGCTTAATGTTAATCGCTCGAGTTATATTACATTCTTTTCTTCTCTGATAGGGAGTTTCATGAAGACATGTTTCGAATTACCATATATTGTCAATTAGCGTTAACATCTAACATGATCACGTTTATTAATTACTGTCGTCATTAATCAGATCAGATACATTGTATGTGAGGATGGATGTTCTTTTAATCGTTACATCATCATGTATCAGTTCTATCTTAAAGTTCAAATTAGAAACTTAACCTCTTCAGATGATCTTTAAGGTGGACTCGATTTTTTCAGTGCAATTTCACTTGTTTCAAATGTAACGCACTTATGTAAATAAATCCTAAAAAATTTTATGAGATATGAAAACAAACTATAACATATGCAAAGATGTGAAAACTTGACCTAACACATATGAACATATGTGGCTATAACATATGAAAACCTAGCCTAACACATATGAACATATGTGGCTATAGCATATGAAAACCTAACCTAACACATATGAACATATGTGGCTATAACATATGAAAACCTAAGCTAACACATATGAACATATGTAGCTATAACACATGAAAACCTAACCTAACACATATGAACATATGTGGCCGTAACATATGAAAACCTAAGCTAACACATATGTGTATCTCTAATCAGATTAAACTAAATAAAATATATGTCCAATAATTTCGATTAAAATCACTTGAGAATGAACTCGGTTTAAGAAGCGTATTTCACAATTTCCTAAAAATAAATATTGGTAGATTAACGACGATTATCTAAAGAGTCTAGCGGTCAAGTAGACTCGCCTTGAGCTGCAAGTACCCCGTTAAGATTCCTCGATATGTTTGAACGATGACGGAATAGACACCTTCCTTCGGAACCGTAACTCGCGGGTAAAATGACAAATTTATTCAAGCACTGGAATTCCTCGAGAAACCATCTGAATTACAAAATGTCTTGAAAAAACATTCTCGTACCTGTCCTTCGTTAGAGAAAACACGCGTTGCATATTTTACTTCTGATTGAAAATCTATCTCACGAAACTTAATTTTAATGTCTTCGACTTCTGATAATATATCATACCAGGAGATTACATATATTAATTGCATGTCCACGTTACACGCACCATTAATGATTAACGCTGAAGTTCATCGTTCGAGTGATTAATAGAACTCCGCGTTTAATCAGAAATTCATGTTGCATTTCTTTCAACTGTTTTAAATATCCTTGCACGAAACCACGGAATAATATTTTATAACAAAAGTATTTATCGGTAAAAATGAGGCTTTGAATAACTCAATTAGTATGAGTCACCCTGTAACGAACGCATATTGAAATCCGCAAGAATGTTAATGTACATATGTTTAACTTAGCGTACACTTAAGAAGCCGAGGAATACCAGCACCTACCGGCACTTTGTAACAAATTGTGCGATTCGCCGGGAATACAGTTGAATTACGTCCGGGGCGTTAATTATCGCGTCTCCCAGGGGATCGAAACGACTTGATTCGTGCCGGACGATAAATTGCCCAGCATTACGCAAAGTGATCGAAGTTTCGTTAAAACGGCGATTCCGACGGTTAATCAAAATCAGGAAACTCTAGAGATTCGCGGATCGCGAAAACACACGATACTTTGTCATCGTGCCGCGGCAAACGCGTTTCTCATTCGTGGCGGACTGTTGGTTTTTAACTGGCAAACCGGATTTATACGGTTACCGAAGAACATGCGTGTCAAGCTGCCTCCCAGCTCTTAATTATTCATGCGGACAGATCCGAGGCGAGGGAAATTTCGGAGTGCCTCTAAACACCGCTGAAAGCCGGTTTAGAGGCCATAGATACGATGCCGTTGTCGAACAACGAACTCCCACGACGACGAATATTTACGTCGAGTTTCGCTGACGACACTTCGACGTGCTTCTTTTCCACGCACTTTCTCATTGATGTTCGACAAATTTTTTTAGATGAACTTTTAGTGGAACCTGCAGTTATTAGGATGGTGTAGATGTAATTTTATATATTATGTCTAATAAAAGGGGTTTAATACTCGCTCACAATATGTAAAATTTAACAAGTATGTATTTAAAATTATTGTTCAAGGAAGTAATTTTTAAATGACCTTGAAAGTGCAACATATGCAGAGTCGTCCATATGTTCATATACAGTCATGTTCATTGTATGAACCTCACTGCGCACATGTACTACACATATGATTAATGTCCAGTCACTCAAGGTTAAGTTAAAAATATTTACACTTGAAGTAAACAAAAATGTAGTGTTTAATGACCACATAATGACATTAATGGCTACAGTGTAGAAAAACTCTTAAATAAGTATCAATAAACTACTTGAACAAATTATAACATCTTACAGTATATCTATATATGTAGTATTGTGCACTTATGCATCCAGTGTATATGTAGTTATATATTTGGTATGAAGTTAGGGTTAATTGATGGACATACTAAATAATTTTTCTCATGTGTCTCACAAGTGAATCATATGTCATGCAGAGTATTAAAAGAAAATCCTAAGTGAATGTTATGTCATGCAGATTATTAAAAGAAAGTCCTAAGTCCACATCTTAGGTCCAGATGTTTAACTTCAAATAACAGCACTGAAAGTGTCCTATGTCTCTAACCTAACTAATCCCTAATATCTACTTCCAGCGCTAACTTTGCGTGAACCATTCGCGTCCGAAAAAGTAGAAGTAGTA